AAAATTTAATAGTTGAAGTTACTTGGACAAGTTATTGTTCAAGACGTGATAATAATCGGAAATGATTGTAATGCCAAACGGTCGAGGTTGTACGAAAAGCGAATCGACTAGAATAGCTACGAATAAATGTTATTCAAACATTTTAATAAGGCAATCGATTGAGGTAAGTTTATTCGAAATTTTTAACTAGTTACTTTTCCTTTTCTCCATTAATTCCTTTTTTCTATTTTCTCATTTTTCAATATTTTCAATATTTATAGGACATATTTTTTGCGTTATAATTTAAATTCTGAAAATCATAAAATTAGGATAATAAAATATCAAATAAAATAATCGTATTAAAAATTAAAGAAATCGTTAATGCTTGGATTATCAAGATATTAATATTATTTCGCTGAATATATAATTTCAGATATCATGTTGATATAATACGTATAAAGTATAGTCGAGTTTCCAAGAAGAAACGGTATGGAATGGGGAGATGGTTATAAATTTCATTTTCTCGAGAATTTGTCAGAGTAACATATTGGCGGGATACCTAGCCTCTGGAGAGGTAAGGTCGGTGGCTAAACGTTCAATAGCTATTCAGGGGATCCTCCTGGTTACCACCTGTCCTCCCGAGGGAACGTTTCGTTTTAAGAAATCTCCTCTTCCTTCTCTTCTCGTTCTATCCGGCAGCCGGTGTGGCGTGGAAAGCCAGCGCTAATGTCCCTCCGATGACAATAAAAATTTGTCGCCAGCATATTTGACGCGAAAACTGGCTTTCAAATCGTTCTCCTTGGAACCAGAACAAAGAGGCGGCCTAAATTTTCCGCTTTGCCGCCCCTGTTAGCTGCTCGAACGCCGTCTCCCGTCCTCCCAAGGAAGAAAGATTCTCGATTCTCGAGGGATGCAAGGTGTTTCTCAAAGATAATCCTTCGCGCTACGAAAATTCGAAATTAAGCGGCGCTTGTCGTTGTTAACTCGATCAGAAAATCGAGAAAAAAATGTTCACGTTCGACGGAACGTGAGGTTAAATGGTTTTCTCGGACGAAAAAAAAAAAAAGAAATTGTTGAAACAATATTTGAGAAAAATATTTCCTTTGTACGTGCACGCGAGAGGATTAAAGGCGAAGCAAGCGAGAAAGGCCGAAACGGGGCGCAATATTTTTCCAGGGCAGATAAGCCCACAATTTAACTTCACGCACCCCCGACGTTTCACAATCCGATAGGCAAACTTCTTTTGTTATACACCGTTTCCCTTCGAGCTATGCATTCGCACTTATACCATTGTGAATACCCTAGCAATACCGTTGCCAATATAGTTACGGTAATAATTTTTCGTTGTATTTACGGTATCTGAAACTCTAGGAGAAAGGAAAAATCGACAATGGTTGCTTCTGTTATTCGCATTATATTCGAATTTTTCTTTCTTTATTATTATTATTATTATTATTATTATTATTATTATTATTATTATTATTATTATTACTATTTTAGATATATACATTTAAAAGGAAACTGGACGACAGAGGTACATTGGATAAGATCTAAATCTTGACCATCGACGAGGTTCGTGCGCGGCTTCGATTTGAATTCCATCCGAAAGAGGATGAACGTGGCCTGGTTCGAACGAGATCGCGCAATCTGACGGAAAATCGAGATTCACGTAATCCCTCGCGCGGAGGATTACGGGTGACGAACAATGCTCAGAAGGCGACGCGAGGAAGAAATCGTGCGGAAGATGTTACACGACGATAGTTGGTCGGTCGAAGAAGGTCGGGCCGAGATTAGGGGAGAGGAATGTTGGAGGAGACGGTCGTGGATTACGGATCCTATGAAAACATCTCACACTTACGGCTTTCGGGGCTTTAGTCGAGGTTTAGGGGTTGGACGAGTTTTCGCTTCAAACAAGGGATTTTTAGTCCAAACAGGCGTGGACAATGATCCATTTATGCGAAAATCTTTCAGATATATTTCCGTTTACTCCGTGTTATTATTGGTGTAATGAGATGCAAAAATTGTTGTACTCCCGAAGCTTTTCTTTGGGAAAAGAGGGTGTTGAAAGTTTCGAGACAGGGATAAAGTTTTTCTTTATTCGCTCCCGAATATTTCTCGCTTTATTCATTAGAAGTAGCCCATCTTTTAAATTTTTGACGTTTCCATTACAACGGAACCTAAGAGGAATAAAGCGAAACGTGCATCGAATTTACTCCACGGGCGAGAGAACGATCATTCGAATGATCATTCGAGATGCGGCAGAATTCCCTTGGGATTCTCCCCTGATCTGTGCGGTGAGAAAGCTTAAACGAGCTTTCCGGAATCATGCGCGACGCGTGCCCGATGCATTTACCATGAACGATCGATCACTACGTATTTATATATAAACGATGACGAATATTTATCCATCCAGTTCGATTTTGCTTCGAGTGACTAAAAGTTTTAGAAAAGTTAGTAGGAATGCGAAGAAAAGAAATAGAAGAAGTAGAAAGTGAATGAAAGAAATCGGTCGAGTTTGAATTTTATTACTTTTCCAAAATTCTCAGAAAATCGATTTAAAAACAACCGTTATTACCAAGTCCATTTGTTTGTCGAAATTTGCAGTTTCGAAATTGAACCATAAAACTTATTGTCACCGTGATCAATTGCTGCCTTTCTGTCGTAAAATCGTCCTCGTACCATCGTTACCTGAATTTAATTATATACCACAATTACTCGGAAAGGAAAAACCTTTCGTTAAACCCGAGTGAGTAGCTCATGTCTGAAATAGTAAAATCATCGAAGCGCCTGGTCGTTCGCCTCGATCTCGGCTCGAGGTCCAGGTGTGAGAAAAGCCCGTAGCGCACAATAAAATGTCACTCTCCATTGAAGGAGAGCGTATCCGTGGTGCGAGCGCCACCCCTAAACGCTTCCTAGATGAATGGCTCCTCTATTCGTTGGGCCTTTTTCTATTGGCGACCGAGCACAAACGAACGAGCGCGGATCACCGTGTCTCACAGAGAGGCGAGCTCTCGCGCTCGCGCGAGGGATGCAACGTTGGGCCCTGTTTAACGTCATCGTATATTTCACCCCACAATCGGGCTCCCGGACAAATACCCTTATTTGTACACATCCTGTGCATTGTGACGCGTGTATCGCGGGGCACCCAGGGAGCACGAACGACTTCCGGTGAATACGTTCTCTCCTTTCTTTCTTTTCTCCTCCCCCTCTTTCTTTCTTCCTTTCTCTCTTTCTTTCTTTATCGCTCGACCTCGCGTATCCTCCTCCTCCTCCTCCTCCTCCTCCTCCTCGCCCGCCTCCTCTTCCTCCTCGCGTTCTATTTCTTGCTCTTTTCATACCCACCGAGATGGTGGGTGGAACCAGATCGCGTACCTGCCGGATAAAAACCGTATTGAATCGTGCCACGAGAACAGACCTCTGATAATGCGCATCCCTCGAATCGCGATCATCCAACACCGATTCCTTCCTCCCGCCTTTTTTTCTTTTCTTCGTCTTTTCTTTTCCTCCCTTCCCTATCCAAGAAATTGGATAGGGAGTCGGGAAGAGATCTTGTTGCTAGAGGTTGGACGAGTGCCGGCTAATTGCGGCCGAATTTTCGTGAACTGGGAAGGGAACACGAATAAGGATGTGAATAAAGAAAAATTGTTCGTTCTCGTTGTCGCGATGATTATCCGTTTCCTCGAGTCTAAAAAACGGCTTGGCCGTTTTTGGCCGGTTCTTCTTCTCCTTCTGCTCTCGATAGCCGGAAGCGGATTCTAATAGGGATGATTTCGAGGGAAGAAAGTTTTCTTAGAAAACTCGTTTCGGTCTCTCGGTATCGAGTTTCACGAGTGGCGTTCGGTTACCGTTTTCCGTATGCGCGGAAATATTTTTCGCGTGCACACGGCAAACATCGTGGCATTTTCGAAATTGCGTCTCGGATATTACATTTTCGACGGAAATTGCGAATAAGAGAGAAGGATATGAAAAGGAAGGCGCATCGGTACGTCACAAAGACGCGATTTCACGATCGACCGAAGGCGAAATTTAATTTGTTCCGCGAGCACTCAATTTTCGGGGCAATCTTCTTCTTCCTCCCTCCCTCCCTTCTTCCTCGAATGGAGACTCGAAAGGAGTAGGATGGCGTTTCTGGACCATATGCCGGCGGACCATACGGCACGTGGATAATTACAGTGAAACGCAATGCGATTGTAATGCGAGGGTGGCTCGACACCGAGATAATATTCGCTACGATCGATCGTGTGCACAGCATTCCGCGCGAATCGACGTTAACCGCGCGCAAGAGAAACAACATTTCTTCGTTTAATAAATAAAGAAATAAATAAAGAAAAGATTGTAAATTCTTCCGTCAAATTTCTATCAATTATTTTTAAATAATTTATATTAATATATATCTTCGCATTGGCGTTGTCCATTTTTTCCAATAACTATAACAATAGTATTTAAAATCAATTTATCGATAGGTTGAAACGTATTACAATTTTCGTTTTCGAATCAAATGAAGAAAAAGAAAAGAAAAGAAAAGAAAAGGAAGAAGAGGAAATGGAGACAAGCGAATGGAGAAAGAAATACGTTTCGACGAAACGAAAAATCGCGACACTTTACACAGTTTGGCCTACTTTCCTGTCGGCGAAATAATTCGGGCAGAAGGATGGTGACGCAGTATGGTCGACCATATGCCGAGGGACGGTTCCAGCCCACGGATAATTACAAGGGATGCTACGGTGCCTTCGGGGGTAGGGGCGAGCTAAAATTGAATGGTGGGGCGCGTGGCTACATAAGGAAGGTACCGACCTCCGAAGGGTCGCAGTCGGCTCGAAATTTTCGGTGGTATAAGAACCTATCTCTCCGCTCGGTTGTTCAACGGTGAACACGTTGCGTTCTCATTTGTTGGATTCAACCGCGCAATTATATACATATATAATCGAGTGAACGTTCGAGAAAAGAAAAAAAAAAAAAAAAAAAGTGATACAGTGAGTGAATATAATATAACTCGGGATATAAAAAGTGTGATTTTGAATATGGAGATTTCCTGGTTCCTTTTTTTCGTCTGGTGCACCACTCACCTGGTTACTGGATTCGATCTAGGACCGATCGTCAGGATCGCTCAGTGCAGATCCCAGTGTTTGAGGAAGCACACTTCCGATGGAATCTGCGATTGGTATTCCGAACAACAACAACAAACTACTTGCAGCATGGTGAGTCAAATTGTGATACGCATAATTGTAATCGCTGAAACGAAACGTGCACGAGACACAATTCCGTTTTACAATACGAAATATATATATTCTTAAAAACGTTTCACTCGTGGAAAACGAAGGGAAGAACGCGTGAGGCGTTCAAAGCATCGCCGAGTACAATGCGTGGCCCGCGTCTCTCTCCTCGCTCCCATTCTCCTCGTCTCAAATAGAACCCGGCTGCGATACGTCACGAAATTTCGAAGCACCGCGTGGTGTGTTTCGCTCCACGCCTTCAACGTGACCCTCTTTCCCCAGTCACCCGTAATCCGAAATCGGTGGAGAGGCACGTCGTGGCCCAACGATTCTCCCCATAGAATCAACATTCTTCCTCGTATTTTCTTCCTCTCTCTCTCTTTGTCTCTCGCTCTTACATCGAACGATAAACAATCTCCAACGGTGTCTCGTGAAAATATCCCGGAATAACCGCGTAACGAGACGAGATCGGAAAGCGAGAGCGGGAACCCGATTAGGTGACGGTTCGATCATCTGGAAATCGGATAGGGTACGGTGGATCGGCCCCGTACGACGATAAATCTTCTCCGTCGGTTTTATGGGGTCGTAGTTGGAAAATCATGGTGGTCCCCCTCCCACACCTCCTCCCCACCTACCGAGCCCACTCCTCCCCTCTTCGGTGGAGCAGGCACGTCGCAGATGGACAGATGGGAATCACGATTAACTCACGCACAATGCGGCGAGCGTGCGCGTGTGTGCACAGGGCGTTGCTCATTTAGGGGTGTCCATTAATTTCATAGAAATCGATGCCGTCTCTCTCTCTCTCTCTTTCTCGTGCACACGCACGCACACCCACGGAGGGGATCACGAGCACTCGCGTGAATAAGAGAAGGAACACACGGGTGGAACGTGTATCGAGGATCGTAGGAGAAGGTCTCTACTTGGATAGAGGGGCCGAGATGATCCATTCAAATTTATGCTCGACGAAGTTCTCGAGGATCGTTTCCACGGGCCGCATTAGAATAACGATTCTCCTCGAGGAGGAGGGGGAGGAGCAAGCGGACAGGCGGAGGTGGCTTAATGAAGGTCGCGCGCGAACAACCTCTCACCCTCGTGAGAGAATTACGCCTGGATAATGACGACCAGTCCTGCATAGGGAATGTCGTCGCACGCTTTGAACCCGCCCTTTTCGTGGACGGTAATTGTTTTACGGGGAGGGACAATCGAGCGTGAAGGGGATGATCGACGGATCGGAAACGAGGGGACAGAGAGTTTTAAATTGCCGACAGGTTCATCCCGAAATTTTGCGGCGTCCTGGGGGTCTTTGATGTTCGCGATACACCCGCAACTTGGCTGCCAAAGTTTCGTTCAAAGGTGCGGTGACGTCAATATATTTTTCTTTTTTTCTTTTTTTCGTGCAAATGCGAAGTAAAATTTTTCACTTGAAAATGATCGAGCGACAAGAAAGTGGATAATTCTTTTTTTTTTTTTTAAAAACGTCGATAGTTTCGAAAACTTGGAAAGGTTGGATGGATCGATGAAAGACGCGTAAATTTGTTGCATATTCTATTCTATAAAAGGAAAAATGTATTCTGAAAAAGAAAAAAGAAGGAAAATACAAGATATAGCGGCGGTAGAATAGAAGATACAACGTCGATCGTTCCATCAAATTTCATCGAATGCAACGATGATCGTTCCGTTATCGAATTACGATCGGGCGAGGGTCGTAAAAGCCACGGTCCCCTCGTTCCGGGAAATCAATGACCGAGTCGCAAAGTGATACAAACGGGATGAAAAGGATCTACGTACTCCAGCCCCGTTTTTCATCTTTCATTCATTCCACGTTTTCATTTACGAGATAGCAGCCGGTATCCATCACCTTTACGCGTATTTGGTACGAGCGTTGCGGGAGCAGTTTCGTTTTATTTTATTTTATTTTTTTCCCATCCTAATTCCATTCCATCCCCTTTACGCTACCCTTTCCCATCTCGTACGAATCAATTAGAAACCATCGAACGGGGGAAAAAAACCATTTCGAGGTCGAATTATCGCTGATGTTGCTTTCTTGGAGACGTCTTTGAAACGAAGAAAGGGGACCTACAGCGTTTCTACGAAGCAACCAGGCTTAGAAAGAACGCATCGTGATGTAGGATAATCGAGTGTAGGAAGAGCGAAGCAAAGAAGTCTCTTTCTCTCTCTCTCTCTCCCTCCCTCCCTCCCTCTCTTTCTCTCTTCTCTTTTAAGAGAAGAAAAAAAAAACCTGGAAACAGGGCTCCACGAGAGACGGTATCCTAATAAATATGAAGACAACAACGACGGTGCCTGTTATGCCTGAAACAGGTTGGAGCTAATTCGGCCCCCCTCTCCTTTATCCCTCTCTCTCTCTCTCTTTATCCATCCGTCTTTCCCTCTCTCCCTCTTTTCTTCTCCTCCTTCCCGGCTGCACCTTCTTCCTCTCCTCCTCCTCCTCCTTCTCCTTGGTCCTCTCCATGGCCGCTTAAATCGCTCGATTCAACGCTCGGTCCGCCCGATGCTTCTTATTTTCCCTTCCCTTCTTCGCGTTTCTTCGCCGCTCGCCCTCCCTCTTCATCCCCCTCGCGTACCATCGTTCCTTTTTACCCGTGCGTCCCATGCGTGCAAGAGCTTTTTGTTCAACGCTCAAACCTTCCCCTTCGCCCACCGTTCTCCCGCTTCTTTCACGTGTACACGTCGTTCTTTTTTTTTTCCCCTCGTTTTTTATTTTCACCTCACTCACTCACTCACTCGCTCACTCACTCGCTCACTCTCTCTTTCTCTCCCGTGTTACAGTGCTGGCAGTACTGCGAGGCCCTCGAGAACCGGTGGGAGAAGACGAGAACCATTTGCGAGGGCGACCAGTATCTACACGTAAGTAAATTTACGTGGTGGAACCAACGTTTTGGATTAGGGGAAGTCGCGAGGAGAATTTTCGGCCCCTTACCTTCGTTGAGGTAAAGGGGAGGAACGAAATCTCGTTCGTGTCGGGGGTGGTTAAAAAATTTTTTTAACTTTCTAATCTCCTCGAATTCGCGAGAGATTGAACAACAGCGAATCGCAATTGTATCATAAATGAAACGATCCGAATATTTCTCGTTCGGATCGTGCGAGTTCGAAAAATCTCGACAAAGCGTGTCAAAGCGGCGGAAAATTCGGGTCGATCAAGCGGTGACGAGGGGACGTCTAAGGGGGAGGTTAACTTTGAAAATTTCAAAGGCAGAGAGAAGAAAGCGAGAAATGTAGGGTGAACGACGTCGGGACGGATAGGAGGGGGGAATGTTCGATAAAGGGAATTTCGAGGCGAGGATCGGTACTACGGTATGGGAAAATCCTTAGAAACGGCTACCTGTCGATTTTCACGGAAGGTCGGGTCGCTTTGTCGCGCGACGTCCAACGAATTTAAACTCTCTCGGGTGTATCGAACTTCGCCTAGATAGGAATCTTTTTCAAATATTTGGCCAACTACCTACTAGGTTACGACTGGTTCTGTTTAAATCGAAGGTCGAAAGAGAACGAGAGATATATGTATATATATATATATATATATATAGGATTTGAGGAACATTTTTCGCAAGATAAAAGAAGCTTATCTTTTTTTTTTTGCGCGCGAAATTCTTTGTACTTGTTTAAAATGTCGAATCACTCGCAGAAAGATCGTCGTTCTTCGTTCTTTTTCGAAAATGTCGAGAAAATAATCTCCAAGATCTCGACGAAAACACTTTACCTGTTTTTCCGTAAAAAAAAAAAAAAAAAAAAAAAANAAAAAAAAAAAAAAAAAAACAAAAAAGAACAAAAGAGACACGTAACGTATTTTTTTTCCAGTGTCCAGCCTGTGAGACGGCGTGCACCTATCGAAAAACCAGGATAGAGGAGAAGTATCTACCGTCCATGTTACCAGCTCCTAAGAAGGCGCCCCTCGATCTCGACAAATTCGACGTAGCTGTGGTGATGCGCAAGCTGTACAAGCAGTGGAGAGTGGCCGGCTATTACCCGGGTGAGCGTACACCGAATCTGAGACCGGACACGTGGATCATAGTCGCGATGGAGAACGGGATGAAGCACTACAGTTGGCAGGAATGGGTTCCGAAATTGGAATCGTTGAAGGAGGGACCTTTGTACGAGGCGACCATCTCCTGGAAGGACGTGCAGACCCAGCTTCAGAAGCAGAGGTCCCTGCAACAGGTCAGATTCAACAACCGAGTGAGGCAGTTATTCCTGGAGAAGTACGGCGAGAAAGTTCTCGCCGAGTGGAGGAGCCAGGAGGACTCGCAAATCTCGGACGACATATTTCGAAGATTCTTCTTCAGGAGGAAGGACGATCGATCGGAGGACGATCTCGAGGCCGACGACGCCCCGTCTACAAGCAACGCTTACAACGACAGGATCGATTTGAAGGATCGTTTGGAGGGCAAGGAATCGTACGTGGTTTCGTGGGAGCCCGAGACAGGAGGTCTTATGGGAAATCAAGTGACCGACTCGAATTGCGCGCAGATTTCTCTCCTCCCTGGGACCAAATATCTCGTGAGGATCGCCTCCAACGACGGACCAGGTAGCTTCCCCATCGAAGTAGACACGACGCCTAATTTCGTTCAGGTTAAGAGGATAAAGGCACCCGTCCAAGTACTGTATTCTTGGGACATATACGCGGCTTTCGGTTGTGCCGTCCTCTTCGTGGCCGGTTTCGTGCTGACCAAGATGTACAGAAAGGACAAGATTTCGGCCGAACACGTTTGAAGATGAATGCTTCCTTTTTCTTCTTCTTTTTTTTTTTTTTTTTTGCTATTGTGCACGAACTGCTATGGATCGATGAAACAACGGCGGCGAAAACATCGCGAGACAACTCAGGGATATGCTCTGACGGAGCATGGATGATATTTCTGAATCCGGAGAGGGAAGGAGAAGGATGTGAAAATTCGTAACGAAGATCGAGGATCTTTTTATATCGTTACGAACGACAATTGCGAATATTGCAATTTTTACTAACGATGTAAATTCCGTAGGTTTTCGTAGGTTATAGATATATAAGGAGTAATAAATTGGAGTAAATTTAAGTTACGCGGTTACCTATCGCGTATAAAGTATAATAGTTTCTAAAGAGTGTTAATCACGACTGTCGCAACCACTTCTGTAAATTTCTAAACGTGGAAATGTACAAAAGATATCTATGCTATTTTTGTATATGTAATAGGGTATTATTAAATAACTCCTTGCTCAACACTGAAACGAACAGACTGTAAAAGAGTTCCTATCAAACTGAAAATGAAGAAGAGTGAGCGGCCGATACGAGGCGCGCACCACGCTGTATTTATTTGTAAATAGTAGCTCGACAAACTTTGTACATAGTTCTTAAACTATAAATAAAACTTACTTCTACCGATAATCCACTCTGTTGTACGAACGAAAATTCCTAACAACAAATCCTGAAATATATACTACATCTTTCTCCAAAATCGCTCGCGTTTGAGGATAAGCGCCTTAGTTTTGATAAAAACCCGTCGAATCCCAGGTTCACCTTCTTATCCCTTATAGGATTAAAATAATAAAAAGAAAAGAAGAAAAACGAGGATTCCAAGACCTGGTCATTGAATTTAGAAGGGGCCCGTATCGAATGGATTTACATTACGACGAGAATCAATCACTTTTTTATTCCTTGGACACGCGAGAGAGGGTCTTTTCTCTTTCGGATAAAAAAGAAATTCCCGTTACGCAGGACGCAAGTTAAATTCTATCTATTAAGAACGACGATCTTTCCAATAATTATCTATATTCCCGAAAGAAATCGGAGAACTACTGTTATTCGCGACGAGCGGAAACGGCGAGACTTGGGCCCGCGGGGAGTTCGCCCGAATTCCATTCCGGCGTTCAGAGCCTACTCCCGAGAAAGTTGCAGGGACGTCCATTTCCTTTCCTCGGTGAACTCTCCGGGAGGGGAATGCCTCCTCCTGGCATCGAGTCGAGGAGGTGCATTGAACTTTCCCGAGCGAATAATAATAAACTCGTCGTGAGTGGACGAAAAAAGAAAAAGAAAAAAAAAAGAAAAAGAGTCAAACGCAAACGGGGAGAGCTGTGCCTTCCCTGTGTGAAGGCAGAGTCGCTACCGTGCGACACACGCGCGTAACCGCGTGCTCGATACACGCACACACGGCGCGAGGACGCCATAGTGGTACGAGAGAACGATGAAAAAGTGTGCCGTGACCTCGAACAAGGTCCCGTTATCCAAGCCGAAGCCTTGGACACGGTCGCCCTCAGTCTTGACTCGGAAGTCAAGCAAAGATGATACTGCTGCTCGCTTGCCTCAGCCTCTTGATCGGTCCCGGTGAACTGGGTGTTCTGAACAATGGACATACGGCAACCGTTACCGCGATACTCGGCATGGGAGGTTTGCTGCCTTTTGGTGCGCTCGCGTCCGGACCCAGGTATTATCCACCGATAATTACGATCTTCGCTCCCATTTCTCTATATTTCAATTGTATTTAATTCAATTGTATTATTTCAATTGTATTTCACGCGATTGCGGTAATTCGATTTTTATCTTCCATCCGCTTTCGAGGGAACATTCGTTCGCGAAGATTCTTCGAGATCTGTTCGATATCTGTCGATATTAATCTCTCGCGTTAACGCTGTATGAATTTTGAATACTTTTGAAAACGCGTTAATTGTACAATTTTATTCACCGTATGCAATTGTGTTGTTAATTATACGTTGAACAAGCCGGGAAGGCTTGTTATTATGAGGACGCAAAAAGTTGATTATAGAAAATAATAAGGTGGTTATCGTGGATCAGAATGCGTTTCTTTCGTATCATGTGGGTATTGTTTGTGGGTATAATTGGTGGATAGTTATCGATCTTATCTTACGTCGTTTCCCTTTCTTATCGCCCGTTCCACTATTCTACATATTTTAAGTACCTCCATACTAATTGAAACCGCACGTCTATCAAATTGCCCAACCGCTAATGCAATAACGTGTACCTTGTTTCTCGAGCGTTTAAAATAAATTGCACGGTAATTGTAATTTTTATCAGAAATTTTAGCCGATTTTATTACTATAAAATAACTCTCTGCGCTCGATTTAGATACGTTCCGAAATGGAAGAAGCAAGCGTGCGAGATACCAGCCTCTCAGCATCCAAACTCGCACTATGTCTGCGACGAGGCAGGAGAAGTGAAATGTTTACCAGGTAAAAAAAGAAAAAAAAAGAAAAGAACTATAAGGAGAGACAAAGATCGATGAAATTCATACGCGACATGGCGCAATAAAACGAAATAGATATTCTTCTTCCTATAACTTTTTCTTTCCCAGGATGGACTGGCGATTTGTGTGACGTACCAATCTGTCGAAAAGGATGCGACCCTCTTCAGGGTTACTGCCGTCGACCAGGCGAATGTCGCTGCAAATTGGGTTTCTACGGCGAGCTTTGCGACAAGTGTGTAGCTCTGCCAGGATGTCAACATGGCAGGTAAAAATCCTTTCTTACCTTTTCTTTTTCTTCTTTTTTTCTACACGGTTCGTTGGATCGAAATGATCGAGGACAGATGCAAGCTATAAGTCGGATGACAAGTTACCCGTTAACCTAATAAGATTGCGTGAAGCGAATAGCGATCATCTTCCGATTCAGGTTTCAATTTCTCGGGTAATATAATATTCTAGAAGCGATGCGGTTGCCAGTCACTGGCAACCATTGTATCCATTTCAACGAATAAATATCAATGAAACAACCGTATCGATTTCGCTTCACCTTAGTTAAGAAACTTTAATTTCAACTAAACGCACTTTGAACGCGTTCCCTTCATTTCCTGAAATATTTCACGGTCGGTGAAAAAGATTGAACGAAACGATTGAATTCTCACTTTTAGCTGCAACGTGAGTTTCGAGTGCTCGTGCGATCCAGGATGGAAAGGCATGTTCTGCTCGGAACCGATCTGCGCCTCCGATTGTCTGTCCAGCCAAGGGTACTGTGAGAAGCCCGGGGAATGCAGGTAAGCCGTAATAGCCGAGTAATGAGCGGTTATCAGTGCCGGTAGCCGATGGATCGAAGGGTATGGAATCGTCCGTTCGAATCGACCCTCGCCCCATTAACGTTCGTAGCTGATAATTTAAAAGCTTGGAGAAACTGTGCGAGAATATCGATCGTGATTCTCCCTTTGATAAAGCGTTTACAGTTTAAATTTAACAATTTCTTATTCGATTTAAGAAGATGGGATCGGGTATTTACGTTGATTAAAAAGAAATTTAATCCTCGACGATTTTTTCATCTTTGGATGAAATGGCAACGTAAAGTAATTTTATACATATCATTCAAATGCGCTCCTATTAATCCAAGATTACGAAATCTGGCATAAATCGAGTTGCCGCACGAAACGACGTCGCCTCTCGAGCGCCTCAAGGGGTTAAATTTCACGAGATCGAGGATGATTAAATAAGCTCCGATTTTCTTCCAGATGTCGATTGGGTTGGCAAGGGCCAAAATGCAAACAGTGCGCCGTTCTGCCAGGCTGCGTGCACGGAACGTGTCAGGGCCCGCTCGAGTGTCGCTGCGAACCTGGCTGGACCGGGCTTCTCTGTCAAACGCGTAGGTTATCCCCTTCTAATAATACGAGCTCTCTCGTATCCTTCCTCCACACGAACCATAACTCTATCTAAGCTTTCATTGTTTCTCGAATCTCGAATTTATCTCGAACGTCTCCCCGTCCGAGCAGCGATTTGCTCGCAAGGATGCAGCCGAGAATACGGCGGTTGCCGTCGTCCGGGCACATGTAGGTGTCGCGTGGGCTGGACAGGCCCGAACTGCACCGAATGCGTCCCTTATCCCGGCTGCGTCCACGGTTCCTGTAAACGGCCGTGGGAGTGCCGATGCGAGGCCGGATGGGCGGGTGATCTATGCAACGAGAAGCTGACTTACTGCGACGAGCATCCGGGAATCTGTCGCAATAACGCGACTTGTATCAGCATGACCAAAGAGGATGGGAATTACAGGTAAACCCTCGTGGCAGTTCCCTTTGACACCGATACCGTAATACCGTGGCAAACCCGTAATAAATTTTCCTCCCCAGATGCATCTGCCCTCTTGGCTATATGGGTCGTCAGTGTCAGATTAAAACGATGGTACCGTCGACCGAGTTGACGCCACCGATGCCAGATTCGGAGGCGAGGCCTCAAATAACGATATCGATGCAGCCAGATGTGAACGAGAGCCCACAAACTTTGGACGACAATGATAAAAATAAGGTGAAGGACGAGGAGCAAACGGTGGAACCTCTCGGCTCGATTGTCATCACGGATCCACCATCGTCCACCATCGATCCTGCCGCCACTGTAGGGAAATGGCCAACCGAACCGCCCACGGAGCTGCCAATCACCGAGAGAGACGATGAAAACGAGACGTAATAATTCCACGATTTGTGTCCAAGCTCGTACACGCTTCGATTGTTATTTATTTATGTAATTTATTTATTTATTATCGTCGTTGCAATCATGTAATCGATAAGGATTTTCTTTTTTTTTTTATCATCGCATATCTCACGCGTGTGAAGAAAAGGATATTCCACTTTTGATTTGACTATTGCAAAATAAACGAAGCTATATATATATATATAAACGAAACAAAATTTTTCGCTTATTTTCATTCCAAGATTTTCATTCCGTTTGGAATAAATGGAAAAACGCAACGAATACATAAGACAGACAACGATAAATTGAACGTGTTCACCCACGTTTGTGCAATTTGAGCAACCAGAAGACCAGTTTTTCCACTTATGGCATAATATTGCAATTAGAAAAAAATAAAGTTTCTACGCGCGATCATAAATCAATAATCAAGAATATATATCCTTTGTTCAAGTTTCTTTTTTAATCGAGTTTTGAAGAAAAAGAAAATTTTTTCCTTTCTTTCCTTCTTTCTTTCTTCGAACTAACTCCTCGAAGGATCAAAAGTCTCCACCAGGATTTCCCGAGAAAGCTGCTATCTCTATCGAAGCAAATTATTGCCCCTAATATACGACCGCAAGGTAAATGGTATGTAAGTATCCAAGGAATAGTACAACTGGCGCGCATACTTCCCTCGTATAAACGCGTATAAACATTCTCGTGGAACGTTACGCTTGATGGAGCATGTATTCGATGTATCGCGATGCATACAGTTTTCGCGCGTGTCGTTTTTCATAGATACACACGAGTCCGGATCGACTGCCCACGTAATCGACCGTCCAAGTCGCGTGTTCCTTACGTAATGCGCTGCATTTTTACCCCCGGGAACGCGCGTCACTCCAGAGTCTAAAGGAAATTTTCCATGCTGAAACAAGTATATATATATATAAAGTTATAGGATGCGA